TGACATTTACCAGTTGAGTTAGAACATCAGGCTTATTGGGTTGTTAAGAAGTGTAATATGGACATGGTTGCGGTTAGTAAAGCTTGGAGAGTACATATTCAAGAACTTGAGAAAAACCGAAAAAATGCCTAAGACACTGCTCGGATATTTAAAGAAAAAATAAAAGAATTTCATGACAATCGAATTTCTTTTAAAGCTTTTTCTTTCGATCAAAAGGTTTTGTTATTTAACTCCAAATTTACACGTTTTACAAAAGAACTCATATTAAAATGGCTCGGACGTTTACAGTAACTCCATTATTTCCTCATGGTGCTATTGAAGTTGAAAATAACTCAAGAGTTTGATTTAAAGTTAACGGTCAAAGGTTGAAACCGTATTATGACAATGCTCCGGTTGGTCTAATCAAAGAAATCAATTTAGAGGAACCCGCAGTTTGAAAAAACTAGTTCGGTGAGCTAACGACGTTAAACAAAGGCGCTTTATAGGAGGCGTGAAGAGATCATGTGGCAGCAAACAAAGGAAGAATCATTCGAGGAAAAAAGGAAGTAGAATTTCGAAATACACTGTTCAGAGAGTGCAGAAAAACTTATTTGGTTCGAACAGTGCAGAAAAAATCAGACTTGGTTCGAACAGTACAAAAAAATACACAGCAGATTCGAACAGAACAGTGAAAAAAAATGATTTGGTTAGAACTTTGCAGAAATATTCGAACTGAACAGTGCAAAAAAACTGATTTGGTTAGAACATTGCAGAAATATTCGAACAGAACAATGGAATGTAAAAAAAAATAGCAGTACAATTTTGGTTTGAGAAAAAAAAATACAATAGTACAATTTTGGTTTTAACAATGAAAAAAAAGGGATAAAGCTTGATTGAGTTATTTTCTTAAAGTCTACTTCCTTTAGAATAAAATCTTGGAATGATCTATCTTTTCTTGATTTTTGTTTTGCAAAAATTTTAATATATCTTCTGGTGGCTTCTCGATCGGACATTCTACTCTATAACAGCTCATCTCAACGTGGTCATGGCCGCGGTAGCCACTAGATTGAGGAGTATTACTTTTCCCTCTCTTTGTTTTTAAATTGATATATATTTTAGGACAAAACGAAATAAGTGAGGGGAGGATACGCATGTCAAATTTTTTCTTTGACTTGTTTTATTGTTTGAAATCGAGTTATTCTGATATTGATGTGTTCGGATATTTGGTTTCTATTCTTGAACTTCACTTTATACTCTTTCTTTTTTTGGATTGTGACCATGTTTAGATCAAATTTAATTTGCATGATTGGTGATTAGTATAGCTGGTGAATTTTTTTTGTTGAGTATTGATATTTCATGCTTTTGTTGATAGAGTTGAACTTGACTTAGTGTATATAAACTTTTCTTGCGAGATTTGAGCCTAATGAGCATACATTTTCTTTCTTGCTCATTGTTTGACTTGAGTGTGCCGGATTAATTAGGATGTTCTAGAACTTGTAATCACAAGGCATATCGAGAGTAAATATTGAACAGATTGTTTTAATGTGATAGGGGCACCTAGGATAAACCAACTTTTCCCAAAAAAAAACTATCCATTTACATCCATTAGTAAACCACATTTGAGCATATTTCCCTTTCTTTGTTTTACACCTCATAATTTAACCCGGAGCCTTTCTTTTTATTTTTCCTCTCTTTTCACACCCTCACCGAGACTTGAGATCTTGTATCACTCTTGTTCCACGAAAAACAGTCGAAAAAAATGTTTTTCGAACAACAACAAAAAAAAAAGAAAAAAATGTTCACTGTTTCGAATATAAATAAAAAAAGAAAAGAAAAAGAGAAGAAGGAAAATCGATCATTTCAATTGCCTTTCATTTATTTTTTTCCTTGTTTTATTGTGCTTTATGTTAAGTTTGTGGATTGTTCCTAATTGTATTAATCTTTTGTCTTGGTACTTAACCCGATCATCATGGCTTTTTCCCTACCCTAACCTAAGCCCCGTTACACTTTGTTTAAATACCCCTTGATTATTGCATTATGTTCATTTTTAGTAGTGGATACTTGATTGGATTCCAAGTTTATGGTAATATTTTGATTAGTTTTGGTTTGAACGATTTCATTTACCCCAAACACTTTGAGTGGATATGTGTGAAACTTTGTGAGGTATCGAGTCATGTTTTATTGAAGTTGGCAATTAATTGGGATATCTTGCTTGCTTTAAATTTTATTAGCTATGTCTTTGCTGGATGGTAACTTAAATTCGAAATCGTCATGGACTTAGTTCGATTGGAAGTTTGAGAAAGAAATTGAACTTGAAGATGGCAACTTATGATTTTAATGTATTAATCGATGAATGTTTGGGGACAAGCATTGAATAAGTGAGGGGGAATTTGATAAGTTTTTTATTTAGTTATTATTTTGCTTTTGAATTGCTCCGTAATTAATGGTTTTCGTGGCTTATTTGTTCGTTTTGATTCATTTTTTATGCATGACTCTAGATTCTGGAAATTACACAAAAAGACATAATTTTGCATTTTTTTTATTTTTGGAGTCAATGCTGGATTAGTGGGCCTAACTTTGGGCATGAAACATCTGACGAGGCGATGATGTCAACTCCTTCTAGAAGGTCCAGTCAACGCTTCTAGAAGAACAAATGGATCAGCCGCACGTTTTTGCAATTCAGATTTGAATTAAACTCCCGTTTTAGGATATTATTTTAAATATTATATTTTATCTTATCTTTGTTTTAGACATTTTATTTTAAATAGTTTTAAGTATTTTAATTAGGATTTAGGATATTATTTTATCTTATCTTTGTTTTAGGTATTTTAGTTTAAATAGTTTTAAGTATTTTAATTAGGATTTATTTTCTTTATTTTAGGATTATCTTTACATTGTTTTTAGGATTTTGAAGGCTATAAATACCCTCTCAGGGTAATCCTAGAAACAAATCTCTCAACAACTGAGAATTTACTCTTCTTCTTATCTCTAGCTTTATAAAATTTTCTCTTCTATTTTCTTTAAAGTTTTCAAAATTTATTTATTTATTTTATTTTAAAGTTTTGTTTTCAAATATGATAAGTATGACTTTGATCATGCTTAGCTAATTTTCTTTTAAGACGAAGGCTAAAGCGAATGCTCAATTCCAAACGTGAGAATTGTAAGGCACTTAAATCGCTTCAGATTTTTCTCTTTGTTTTCTGGGCTTATTTTCAAATCAAAACAATTTTCTAAACCAAAAGCCGGCGTTGGTCTGAATGTTGTTATGGTTAACGTGGGAAGGAGGATCGGCTTATTGAAGCACATTCGACTTCCTGTGAACACATGTAGCAAAATTGTTTGCTAAGAGGAAACTGATATCAGAATAAGTTATTGTTGAAACAACATAATTCAAGTCGACAACTTTTCAAACTTCAACGTTTTAAGATCTACAGCATTGTTGTTGTTTAGATCAACTCACAAACCAAAATTTAAGAGTGCACTTGGATATTCGGCATACAAAGCATAATCACAAGGAATTTTCATTGTAGACAAGTAGCCGACATGAATCTTGAAGTAAAGATTTATTTCGATGATCCGAGAAATTTGAGGCAAAGCTGAAGTCTGAGGCTATTCTTACCATAAGTCTTCTTTATCTCAATTTATTTTATTTATTTTATTGTTTATTTAATTTTTATCTCATTATATTTCTTTAAACAATTTAAAAACTCCCCCTTCTTATCTTTATCATTATCTTATAATTATTATTTATTATTTATCCTTATCTTCCTTTTAAAATAATTTATATTTAATAATTTATTTTATTTTATTTTTATCTTTTTATCCTTATCTAAATTTCTATCTTCTTCTAAATCATAAACACCAGAGTCCCTGTGGATCGACCATGCTTCTCTATACTACTCTCACTTTTTACTTATTAAGAAGCCAAAATTATTTTGATAGCAAAACGATAGTTATCAGATATTATAGTATTTGAATTTAAGTTGCGGATTTAAATATATATTTTCAAGATGGGCACACATACATTAATAACATAAATTTTTTAAATGAAATGGATAAAAATAAAATTTTAGGGTGGACACGAAAAATTTCAGGGTTGGACACTATCAATAAAATAAATAACTAATCGAAGAAAATTTAGATTTCAGGGTGGTCACATGCTCACCCTCACCAAGTTGTGGCTCCGCTAATATTCAATACTTGTGAAAAATATTATTAATGCCAATTTTTAATAAAGATTAATATTTCTGTTGAGAGAATATAAGTTACTAAACAAAAATAATATTTTTATAGCTTTAACAGTTTTGCAAATTGATTTTTTTTGGAGTTGAACTACGAAAGGAAGAACTAATTTTAATATTATTTTTAATAAATGTTAATTCTGTAAAATAAATTGGCTTTATTTGACTATTCTTACTAATAGAAGGATTAAATTAATCCATTAAATAGTAAAATGACTAATTTTAATCGACCTCTATAACAGCGATGTTAAATTGATCTATTTAATAGTAAAAGAACTAAACTGATATAATATATATAACAGAGGGACCTGATAGGTACTTTAACAGTTGCTTTTCTTTTTCCCTAATTTTCTCCCGCTCTTTCAAATCTTAGCCTTCCCTTTTTACCTTTTGACTCATTTGTGTGGTAGGCGTGTTAATTTAAATTGTAGCTGTGTTGTACTTATTATGATTGTTAATATAATGGGTGTTATTGTAGTTACTGCAATAATTATAGTTGTAATTTTTCTTTTTAATTCATATAATTTATTATAAAATATAATAATTTTAATAACAATAACATACTGTAGGATATTTTTAAAACCTATTATTGTCGTAATTAACCATTCTCCATTAAATTACAGTTGTGATCCACCTTTATTAATATGATTTATCTTCTCACCGTTATTTTTTTATAATTACATTTTCGAAATCTTCCGCTACGCTATATAGACCTAAATATGTGCTTCTGTATGGAATTTGGTCCAAATTGAGGTGAGTTTCAGCTTTAGAGTGTGACAAATGGCAGGCTTCTTCTATGTAGGTGGACCAGAAGGAGAAGACAAAGAGGAAAACCTGAATCCGTACAGAAGCGAGGAGATGTGCAACAAAGGGTTTGAGATATGGCCACAGTATGACGAGTCGTCTTCAAGAGCAACAGTAGGGTTTACAAATACGAGACAAGGAGGAGTCATCAGCTGCCAGGATTGTGGAAACCAGGCCAAGAAAGACTGTCCCCATTTCAGATGCCGGACTTGTTGCAGAAGCCGAGGGTTCCACTGCCAAACTCATGTTAAAAGTACTTGGATTCCTGCTGGTACAAGGCGAGAGAAGCAACAACAACGGCAAAATGAACACCAACGAGAGAATCAAGGTGCCCCTATACCTTTTCTTTACTTTATTCTTTATTTGTTTCTAATGTTGACGGAGTTTTGAAAATTAGGGTTGGAACTGTATAATTTCCCTCCTGAAGTGAGCTATCCAGCAGACTTCCGCTGTGTAAAAGTAAACGCTGTGGACGATTTAGATGAGAATCAGTACGCTTATCAAACGGCTGTGAACATCGCCGGGCATGTATTCAAGGGAATCCTTTACGATCAAGGCCCCGAAACCCGTGGTGGCGAAAGATCTCAGCAACAAAATCCTGAATCAACTATGCTTGACCCTTTCAATGCCGGTATGCAGTTCTTCCCACCAGCAAGCCCTTGAATTACGGACATAGTATTAAATTGCAGCCGCAGTGCATTGTAACGTTCTTGTCATAACAGTTTAAGGGTTATCGCGACGCCACAAACTGAATTTGCAACATAAAACTAAGTATGTGTCTCTAACAGAAACCGTAGTTTAGTACTATGTTTACATCATTACATGCATGTGTCTCCAATGTTCCCCATTTAGCTCATTGTTATCTTAATTATCTCTGGTGCTTTTTACGAGTTTGCAGTTTGTATGATGTTAACAAAATGATAATAGAAACTAAGTATGCGTACGCTATGGTTGTTTTCGATACGATTGAGCAGTAATATCCTTTTACTTTTTTTTGTATATTCACAACCTATTTTATACGTAGGCAGATCGGTTTTTTAGGCATTTATTATATCAGCTGCAAAGAAAATAAAATTCAGCCACTTGAAGTGATGTGCATGGATGTGACTTCTCCTAGAGTTGAAACCATTGCTATTTAGCAAATAAATTCAATGATTCTCTGCAAATATATATGTAACGTTATATTTAGTCTGAGAGTAATGATCTATATAATCCTAGGTATGAATGAGTTTCTAGACATCTAGAGAGATTTTTCCTTTTGATAGTCTTATAGACTTATCACAAGGGGAAGAAACATAAACTAATTAAGATCATGAAAAAATTTCGACGTTTTGTACTTCTATAATATATATTTTATTTAATATTGTAAAACAATATATAATATTTTGGGTGAATCAAGTTAGAGTAGGGAGTTTTTCCTTTTAGGTCAAATTCGGGTATTGGAATTTTAAATAGAATAAAATTTGAATCAAACAGATAAAATTTGAATCGGTTTGTAAAAGAATGATGTCATTAATGTGTAATTCTTGGCTCTGATGAGACAATTTCAGTTTTTACGTTGTTTTCATTGCTTTTAATGGTTTTATCATTTGAAAATTGTAATAATGAAAATTATAAGACACAGGAGATGATCATGTCACATGTAGGTTTGACCTTCTCATACTAGCACTGAACAGAACTTATACAGTGCCTAATTTAGACAAATCAGAACTCTAGTGGATTTATGTTTTGTGATGATGAAAGTTTTTGATTTAAGGTTTGGGATTTGGATCATGACTTAATTGAACAAGAAATTAGTTATAGATGGTAGAAAAATATTGCTTCTTCAATATCATGAAATGAATGATTAATTGTCCCTCCCTTAAACCTACAAATAGGATTAAAAATAAGAAAAAAATATTGGGATTATTATAGGAAATGAGATTCGTGTGCAAGACATAATAGAAGATAAGCAAGATTATTGTATATGCCTAAAGTATGCAATGATTATAATCCTACAAGCACGTATTTTTTTCTTTCATATAAAAACTTACTTCGATTGACATGTTTGTTATTATAAAGCACATAAGAACATGGATTCAAGCATTTAAGTGTGCATTATTCTTTGATTTAGAAATCTAGATAATTAATAGGTGTTGATATGTTTTTCCCTTAAATTAATAAAGTCATTCTTTTGTACACAAGTTTTGTTTTTTGAACAAGGATGTTGATAAAGGAAAGAAATATTAAGATGCAATTTATATTATTTAAGTATCATCTTAACTTGCACGAACCAAGCTACCTCAGTAGTTTAAGAAATGATTGTTATTCTTAGAGGTCTCAAGTTCGAGCACTAGAGACTGTATGATATTTAAACGTTCATTGTCAAATGGCCACTGAAACTACTTGATGAGATCAAGATAAATAGATTATTCTATATGTCAAAAGTATGCAATATCAAAGATAAATATTAGATTATTGTTTAATCCTATTCAATCCAATTTTACCTTGTAATAAACCTTATCTTGTGTAACCTTTGACTTTCCTTATCTTTGTATAATTTGGTTTCCTTGTAATCTATATATACTCACCACTAGTAAATATTACATTCACCAAATATTGAAATACTTTCCATGGTAATCAGATCCTAATATAATTTCTCTACTTGATTATTATTTTTTCCTCCTTCGCTCTTCTTCAAATCGGATATCCTCCCATGTCTCTGTCTTCCACAACCAATAATATTGTGCATCTCAATACGCCAATCTACTTTCCAATTAAACTTACGTCTGCCAACTTTTTTGTTTGGCATCGAAAGTGAGGACCACTATCATTTGCTTTGGTTAATCAATTATATTGATAGATCGCAACCTTATCCATCTCATCTTACCGATGGCGCAATAAAAATTGCTAATCTTGGATATCTGCAATGGTATCAACAAGATCAAATTTTTATCAGTGCTCTTCTTGGTAGTTGAGATGACCTATTTCAACCCTTCATTTCATCCATTATCACCGCTAAAATGAAATAATATACACTAGTCACAAAATATGCTCGAGAATCCAAGATGGCTTGCAATCTACGTGGTCTCATATTTATTTCTGACTACATGAAAGGCATGCAGGATATTTCCTCTGATCTTACCTTGGCAGACTATCTTGTTTTTGATACAGATCTATTTATTTCCATTGACAATCAATCAGGCGATGATATCGTCCAATAGTTGTTGCTCTTCGTGTATGTAACACACTGACAACAATATGGTAAGCTTTCGCCCTATTGAATTACTTTATTTTAATGTTTGGAGCACTAAACACATGTGTTATGATGAATATTCATATTATATAGTGTTTGTTGATCACTTCACAAGTATATTTGGTTATATCCGATGAAGAAGGAATCTATGTTACAACAATTTTTCCTCAATTTAAAAGGCTTGTTGAATGTTTTTTCAACTAGACTATTATGTCCTTATTCTCTGATAATGGATGTGAGTTTGTTAAAATCTTATCTATTCTAAATTTGGAAGGCATTTCACACTTCACTTCATCACCTCATACTCCTTAATACAATAGGACTACTGAACAGAGACATCGTCACATAGTGGAGACTGATCTTTCTCTACTTCACTTTGCATTACTTCCAGCAGTGTATTGACATCATTTTTTTTCAAGCAGTTGTTTATCTCATCAATTGGATGAAAACACTGATACTGGATAATATTTTACCATCCTCCATACTTTATCCACGATCATCGAACAATGATAATGTAACGTCGTAAAGTTAGGGTTAGTAGTTCAGGTCAATGATTAGGTATTTTCCTGGATTTTTTATGATATTTTCAGTTTTCAAAATTTATAAATATTATTATCATTGTTTCAATGGTTTTTGGAATATTAAATATGTTTTTAATAATATGATAATTTCTTGTTTAGTGACTAAATTGAATAAATTTGAAATATGAATTTAGTGACTAAATTGTAACAAGGATCTAATATTGAAATCTATGAAGCAATTTTACCAAGGCTATTTTTGTATCTTCCCCCTCCTTTTTCAGTCGTATCTTTATTCTCCTTTGTCTTAATTATTGTCTACATTCATTCTCTTAAATTGTTTCTAGTTTTCATTTCGTTTTTCCTTAACCGTTCATTTCATTCTTTTTATCCAATCACAATTCTTTTTCTCCTATTTTCTCTCCCAAAAGTGTCTCTGGCTGAATCTTTCCTTCTTCATTGGTTCCAATTGCAAGCTGATTTTTTTTATTTCTTCTTGATTTTCATCCTAAATTCATCCTTGATTCAATTCCATTCAATTGCCATCCAATTGCCATCCATTCCTTAGGTGTTGACATAGCTTCTTGTTCTTCTTTATTCTCTTCTATCTTCTTTATCTTTCTTTCTTCATTTTCAGCAAGTTAATTCTCTTTTGCATGGTTTCTTATTGTTCTTCAATGATTAATGACTAAATATTTTGATGATCTTGATTGATCAATTTCTTTTAAAAAAAAGTATTGAGAATTAAACTTGATTTTTCTGAGGTATTTAATGAGTTATTTTTCTTGAACATATTTCAAGGTTTTATTCTGACGATTGAGGTTTTTATGATGATATTATTATCATACCAAATTAGTTTTTCAATTGCTTATGGTTTTAATAAAGAAATCTGTAAAACAAGCTTGATTTGGACTTTTTTCGGGAATCCAAGAAATTGTGTTGATTATTGTTGTTTTTGTGTTATTTGAGTGTTTAGGTGTTGATTTTGAGTGTTATTGGCTATCTTGATCAAGTGGAAGTAGTGTGATTGAGTTAGGGGGTTTAGATCGCGTAATCAGTAAGGTTTTCGATCTTTCAGTTTATTTTCGTTATGTTTCTGAAGCAAAATTTTCCGCTCTATTTTGGATGTTTTTGTGACATGTTGACTTGCTTTCTAAGGTTCCTAATTCGTGTGTGATTGAGGAAAATGGTGCTTCAATTGTGGATAGTCGTTTGATTAGCATTTGAGGGTGGAATCAGTTAGTTACGTTATCGAGGTAAGCAACTTTTATTCTTAATGGATGGATATGTGCAAGTGTAATTGAAGGTGTAGTGTAGTGTGATTATTATAGACCAAACTCCGATGTATGTGAATATAAATGTTGCTGCAAGTAATTAACGTGGTATGTGCATTGACATTTGAATATTGATTATGCATTGATAATGCGTTGCGAGTGGTGCATAGAGATTTCCAATGTGCTTTTGAAATGTATGTGTATATATATGAATGTGTAAGGATAAGTGGACCAAATTCACTATCCGTGTATGGGTGAGCAACGCGCTTCCATACAGGGTTGATCATGACAACCAATTTTGTTTAGTGTTTTGAAATGAGTTTGAAATTTATATGCATATAGGCTATGCACCATTTGACTACCACTCTTGATAACTTGGATTACACGGCTTATTGTAATACCCCAAGTTTTGGCCACTGACCAAAATGTATGTTTGAAAGTTTAGTGGCCAAAATATATACTTTGTGAAAGTTCAGGGATTCAAAAATATAATTTTCAAAAGTTATATATTTTGGCCCATAAATAGATAATTTGTTCCAAAATAAAATTTTCACGGGTATCAGAATTTTGATTCTGGATTTGTATTTAAAGTTATAAAGTAGTAAAACCCGATAAGAAATTGGATAAACGGATAGAACTATAATTTTATGAAAATTTGAAGGATGCTAGAGAAAGGTTGGAAATATTATTTCCATAATTTAGAACAACAAAATTTAGCATGTATTTGTGAAATCAAAGTTAATTTTCCCTATTTAGCTGAAATTGGGAAATTTAGTGACTAAATTATAATTTTTAAAAATTACATGGCTAAACTAGAAAGTAAACTTCAAGTTGGATCATCTTTCACTATGAGATATTTTAATGGAAGATATTTCAATGGAAATTGGTAATTATCGTGATTCATTGAGGGTGAAAGTGGAATTTCGCATTAATTGAATTTTAAATTCAACTATATTAGAATGGTGCCAAGTGTTTTAAATGACAATTACTAGAAAAATAAATAAGTAAATTTTCAGCTTATCTTCCCCTTTTGCCCAAAACTTCGTAGCCACCCAAAGTAAGAATTTTGTTTTGATTTTTGAAGTTACATGGTTGTTTTTTGAGTTACGCTATAAGATAGAGAATTAATCCTTTTGAAATTCTTTATCATTTGGTATAAAAAATTCATAAAAATCATGTTTGGATGTTGAGTTTCAACATGTTTCGATGTTGTAGAGTAATTCTAAAGCATGTTTAATGATTAAAATCAAGTGTAAGTCAATATATAAATTTCAGCCAAGCTAGGGTTTATGATGATGGATTGCATTTTAATTGAATTCGATGTTATGAAGATTAGAATAGCATGAACTTGATGTTAGGAAGTTGAATTCATGTTTGAAATTGAGTGAAAAGTTCACCCTAGTTATTTTGGGATATTCGGTCATAGGGATAAAAATAAGGGAAAAATGTTGAAAACTTTTCTATTGTTTAGAATGGATATTGGATGAATTCTATGTGATTTGGAGATTGAATTGGATCAATTTGGAACCTTGAGATTGTAAAATGAATATTTTGCAAGTTTTGGAAATTATGAGACATTGATGAGAAATTGTGCAATTATGGGTATTCAATGTTGAATTTAATTATGGACTGCTGAAATTTTAAGTTAGAACATTGATTTGGGATCAAAGTACAATTTTTTTTTGAAATTCCATGGCGGAATTCGGATGCTTATAAATTTAGGGACTTGATTGCAAGTTTATAAATGTGATGGTACTATTTGAGTATAAAATTACAATGATGGAAATTATTTCTTGAATGCTGATTTTCAAATTTAATTATATGTTTAGGATCGATTTGCAAGTTGGTAATGTTAATGGTTGAATTCGAAAAGGTTAGGGAAAATTAAGGATGAAATTACAAGTTTTCAATTGTTAAACTATTGGATTGAATTTATTATTTACATGCTGGAAATTTTAATGTTTGGTTTGGAATAAGTAAAATGGTGAAAAAACGTTTTAAATTAAATGAAAAAGTTGATGTGAATTCTAAATAGAATTCATAATGGTGATTTAGATGCAAAGTTTATGAAAGTTAAAGGGTCGGTGATGAAGATGATTGTTTATAGAATTGAATAACTATTTTGGAAAGTTTGAAGTTATGATGAAATTATGATTTAGTTTTATATAGATTTAAGACCGATTGTGTTTTGTAGAATTTATTTTATCGTAATTAGATTATGTTAGTATAATACTAACATATAGTTTGAAAATCGTGTTATGTATGTGATGTCGTATAAATTACGACAAAACTTGTGATTCTAGTGACTTGAAAGTGAAAGGCAAAGCACCAGAGCAAAAGGATATAATAGAAAAGGATCAGTAGTGAGTCAGAGGTGAGAGCAATCTTATTTAATTATTTATCTTGATCGACGAAGACTTGTGACTAAACTTCATATTATTTTAAAGTATAAATTTTAATTCTAATTATGGAATATTTTCGTAATGCTTACATAAAGGTTTTATTAATGACTTTTGGGTGTGAATTAACCAATATTTCCATAAATGATATTTTCTGAAAATATATTTGAATGAAATCTCTAAAATGATCTTTGGACATGAATTGCCTAAAGTATTTTATATGATATCTATATTTAAATTATGGATGATTTGGGTTATGAACTACCCAAGTTAAAATTTTTATATTGATGGAATGAAAATGGTTATGATTTGAAATTTATGATTAATAAATGAATATGATATGATCTAAGAGCCAATTGTATGTTGCATTGGGAGTCGTTGGTACACTTGGCATGCCGTTAAGTTGAGTAAAGTAGAGTCTAACTCCGATATGATTCATTCGTGTACATTATGAATGGCATCATTGGTGCAAGTGTTATGGCTGCACTTGCAGTGCATATTCTGATGGCGATGATGGCACTGTTGGTGCTTAGTGCGAGTATTATGTCCGACTCACGTACCTTGCATTCTCTTACATATACATCGAGATATGAAAAAAATCTGAAAGTTATAAAATGTATCTGAAAGAAAAGAATATGAAAATGAAAATGGAAGTTCTGAAATATGTACGAATGAAAAAATATGAAATAGTTGTTATATCTAATATTGGTTTACATGATTTTGATAACTCATGAGATGATGATTTTCGAGTTTCTGAAGAGGAAAATGACTCGAATAGTTCATTTTGAAAGTTCAATGATTTTATTTAAATTACATTTTAATGTTTTTAATTATTTATGATATTTTGTGTTTTATCTCACCTTAGTCGTGTTACTGCCTCACTAAGTTTTACTTATCACGTGAAAATTTTCATGCATAGGTTCAGATTAGTAAAAATACGTGAGGTAGGAGCCTCTTGAGCATCTTTTTGGAAACACCACCTACCAAAAATATCAGTAAGGCATCTCTGATGTTCTTTTAACTTTTACTGACATGTATATTATACTGTCTGTTTGCTTTATCGAATTTATTTAGAATGGTCTATAATAGTAAATTCTAGTTTGGTTAGTGTTAGTTATATTCGAATCTATGGATGAATAATATATATGATATTATATTTAAAATGGTTTTTAAAATTAAGCGGTGTCTAGGCAGATTTACATAGATTATAAAACAACATTAAACTGCCTACTTGTTGCCTAAAATCGATTTTGTTTTGGCAATATAAATTATTATTTTATATTTATACGTGATTTTTTAAGTAGTTTTAAATTGTTAAACGGAACGAAATTTTAAAGGTTAATGTAGAAAGAATGTTTAAAATATTAATGTGACATCTTTAACTCATATTTCAAGACGTATACGAGTTATGGGTGTTATACTTATGTTCTTAGTAGGACCTTCCGATATGAAAGGCATGCCTAGGAAAGAGTACTCTATATTTTCTATACGTGTTAGGGTTATACGGGGTAAGGTTGGTGTGTTGAGCTTTGGTCTAAGAAGATTACGAGGAAAAGTTTGTTAATTGAGCTTTGCTCTAAGAAGATTACGAGGAAAAGTTGGTTAATTGAGCTTTGCTCTGCAAACACATGGATTTGGACCTCGTTCACAAATGAAGGGGAGTTTTATGGAGTCCATTTATCCAATGAATGAGTTGTATTTTGAACAAAGGCCATTGATCTTAAATGCACCAATGTGTACATTGTGTCTGACTTTGCTTGAAAGGTAATTGTGCATGCATGTGTATGATTTACTGCAAGGAATATGATGATACCAAGCATGAGAGCAGTCTGAATTATGTATGTAATTGTGGTGGATCATATGAGCATTGAAGCATGACATGTTGGTATGATTATTGAGGTAAAAACAAGAGAGGAGAGAATGCATGTAGGATCTTTCCTTTAGTCTTCTTGTGTGCATCTCTTAGAATGCTACTTATTCAGTGAGATTTCTGCTCGCAGTCATTGTTTAACAATTTTTTAGATGACTAGAGGATGAATTGAAGAGTGAGTTCGGGTGATCAATCAAGGAAATTATTGCACAAGCGTATATGTTGTGGTTTTGAATAAATGGACAATATGGGATCCATGGGGTTTATACATTTAATGTTGGGATGAACTTCAGTTGATTTTGATGTACATTTGATTATTTTGAATTTGATTTAGCTTGATGGATTCAGATTGGTTGTTATTGTAATTGGTGTTAAATCCATGTTAGTAAGCATGCCTAGGTGTCAAAGTAATCAAATGTTGAATTGTGCCTTAAAGAATTGTTTGTTGAGTTTAGATAAGTAACACTAAGTGTAATAAAAGTGTTAGATTCATAGGATGCATAAAATGACCCAAATGCTCAATTAGACTAGGTGACTTGTGCCAATAGTGAACTTTTATGCAAAATTTGACTTTGATTGCTAAAAGTGTTATGAATCATGCTACAAGTGTATTCTGACATGTATGATGAGGTTTGAATGTGTTCAAGCATGTAACTAGTCCCTAGGATCAATTATGTGGAAGTTTAGTGGCTTGAAATTACATGATTATGAGAATTATGCACTTTTTCAGAAAAAGGATCTATCATTTGAAAGAAAGAGTCAATCCCTTTTCAAAAAGGATCGACCCGTGGAAAAAGATCGAAAAAATGGTAAACATTGCTTTTATTAAAGGTTTTAAGTGTTCCTAACTCCTAGTTTGACTAGAAAGTGTTTTGTGTCTTCAAAGTGGTCAAAAAATTGATTTGCTAGTTAATATTAGACCTTAACTTAGAATTTGACGAGACTTGTACTGTAATCCTTTAATATACTTAATTGCATGATGGGAGTGTCAATTACATGTTTGTTGTTCTTGTGTAACTTTTAAAGTGTTTATGTTTTAGTCCCCAAGAAAGTTATGTTCAATTAGGTCCTTGTTTGACATCCGGTTGATATAAAAATTTGCATACTATAAATTATGATTAATAATGAATATTGGTAAGGTTAAAATGAGAAGTTTACTTATGAAGCATGTGATGTGAAATAACCAAATTACCCTTGCATTATGAATATTGTTTATCTTGCGTAGTTCGATTGTGTAAATGTTGTGATTAATATTTTTGTTGCTCGCTACCTCGTATTAAATGACGATAATTATTTAGTTTTAATCACTTTCACTTATTATGCATATTTAGTGTTATTGTTCTGTCCAACATGATTGGATTCTAAAGTACGCTCAGGTACCTGGAGAATCCTTCGTAACCAGGTATGGGGTGTTACAGATAAGCTTTAACTATTCATATGCTTATGCTTTCATTAGCTACGATTATAAAAATCATAAACTTGAATCGTCGTTCGATGAATGTGTTTATCTTGGATACTCTAGGACGCAGTCTAATTATAAATGTTTGGATCTAGACAGAAACTAACAAAATTTATGTCTCTTGTCATGTTCAATTTATTCCTCACTTATTCTCTTTTATTGCACGAACTACAATCCCTATACCACAAAATTCTTCTATGGAATTAATCAATGTTTCCTCAGCATCCTCTCCTACAATTGTATTATTAGATATGCCACAACAAAATGATGAATCAATTGTAGTGTCGACACCTTGCGTAACATACCATAACAACCTGATGATCCACCTGATGCACCAACACTAGAGGTGACAATCGGGTCATTCAAATCAGTTCGATTTTATTTTGGGTCGGGTTAAAATCGAATTAGTTGGTTTTTGCTTCTTGTTACAATCGGGTCGATTGTCTTTGAGTAAGGTTAATATCAGATTGATTTATTTTGGTTCGATCTAATATTTGATTTTTCGGTCATTTCAGGTCAATTTCAGTTCATGTCAACCTTTAGATGTTTAGGTCAACTGTTATCGCTCTTTGTTATCATAACATTTGGTATTGCTCTTTATTACTTATGATTCAAGAATTTTATGTGAATATATATGTGTGTGTGTGTCACATCTTAAATTTAGAGTTATAAATTTTAGTTTAAATCAATTGAATAAATAAATCTTTAAAATCAAGAATTTTATGTGAATATATATTGTCATATTCCAAATTCCAAGCTATAAGTTATTGCATCAGATATAGAGATTATCTTTTAACTAAGGAGTATTTTATTGAACCATTAAATTATTACTAGAAGTAGTGATTAATTAGTAGTATAATATAAAATGAGAATACAACATACATAATTTTACTATTTGTCAATACCAAAAATAGATAATCATGATAAATAAATGAATAAATTATTCATTTACTTACACTCAATTATTGGGTAAAAATTGGGTTAATGTTCAGTTCAAGATATGATCCCGGTTCTAATATTACTGAGTCATATGATGTTACCTGATTATGAACCTAGTAAGTGTTGAACTTGAATGCTTTGAATTCTAGAAATGGAAACTTATAAAATATAAATGAAAGATAGTGAAATAAATTATGAATATAAGACGTATAATAAAATGGTTGTTGTGGTTAGATTGAAGTATGGTAGTTAATAGGGTTGTGGGCTAAGTGAAATGGAAACATGATTGAGGAAATATGGTGTATTTGTGAAGATTAAAGGATGATGGATTGAGACACACTAGCTATATGGAGCTAGGAACTAACAACATAATATAATGTAAGTGAAATGGTAGGATATGGAACGTGACACTTAAGCTATAAAAGAGCTAATAACCAGCATTATAAACAGTGGAATGGATGAATGCCACAAGAACGATCTTGAATTGAAAAATCACTTGTGGACTATGATTGAAAAAGAACAACCTTGAACCATGTTCTTTCCGTATGGTTTTCGAACAGTGCGCTAGGGACAACAATATTTAAGGATTTGATCAATTTCAAGACTTCTTGTAATATGACATATTCTTTGTTTCATTGCATCTTTCGGTGGGGTTCCTTCACAAACTGGTCTCTTTTTGTTACCTATAATCACTATCAGATTAGTGAAAAAGAAAATCAGACTTAAGGAGATAAAGAAAACAAACCCGACAACGTTCATGGATGGTGTCTATGCTTGATGTTCTTCTAAGAAAACTCCATTGGTTCATCATGTTTTTTGGTTAAAAAAATCATCCTTTGGACTCCTTTGTTTGAAACGTCATGAGCATAGATTAAATGGCTTGTCTTTTCGCTTTTATCTGTTCTACCATGATAAGTGCTTAATTTAGTTAATATTTTGCTTTTAAATTACTCCTTAATCATTCGTTTTTTGGCTTAATTGTTCGTTTTGATTCATTTTCTGTGTAGGACGTCAGATTCTGAAAATTGCACAAAAAGGACAGAATTCTGTTTTTTTTTCTTTTCGGAAATAAGGCTGACTGGAATTCGGATTTGAATTAAACTCAAGTTTAGGATAATATTTTAAACATTATATTTTATCTTTGTATTTTAGTTTAAATAGGTTTTAGTATTTTAATTAAGTTTTAGGATATTATTTTAATATTTTATCTTTGTTTTAGGTATTTTAGTTTAAATAGGTTTTATTATTTTAATTAGGATTTAGAGTATTATTTTAAATATTATTTTTTAGGTATTTCAGTTTAAATAGTTGTAAGTGTTTTAATTAGGATTTGAGATGTTTTAGGTTTTTTTTTAGGAATTTGAAGGCTATAAATACCCTCTCAGGATAAGTCTAGAAACTTATCTCTCTCATCTGAGAATAAAATCTTCTTTTTCTCTTTAGCTTTCTCTCTATTTTTCGCATACTTTTCAATTATGCTAAGTATGACTTTGGTCATGCTTAGCTAATTTTCTTTCAAGCCGAAGACTAAAGCGAAGGTTCAGTTCCAAACGTGAGAATTGTAAGTTACTTAAATCGCTTCGGATTTTTCTATTTTTTCTAAGCTTACTTTTCAAATCCAAACCATTTCGACATTAGTTTGGATATTGTTCTTGTTAACGTTTGAAGAAGGATTTGCTTATTGAAGCATATTCAAATTCCTGAGAACACACATAGAAAAATTGTTTGCTAAAAGGAAACTGAGATCGGAATCAGTTATTGTTGAAACGACACAATCTGAGTCGGCATCGAAGAATTGTCTTTGTAAGCCGACGTGAATCTTGAAGTAAAAATATATTTCGATGATCCGAGGAATTTGAGGCGAAGCTGAAGTATGAGGTTGCTTTCACTATAAGTTTCTCTTTATCTTAATCTCTTTAATTTGTTTATTTAATTATTTTCTTTTATTTAATTCTTATATTTTATTTTAAAAACAACTTTTAAAAAACCATTTTTTATCTTTACTACTATTATTTATTATTATATTATATTATATTATTATTTATTTTATTTTATTATACATTTTCAACTTTACATGGATTTCTATCTTTCCCTAAAATCAAGAAACAGTTTTACTAAATCACAAAAACCATAGTCCCTATGGATCGACCCTACTTCTCTATATTACCTTTTCCTTTCTATTTATTAAGAAGCCATGAATTATTTTGATAATAAACTGATGGTTATCAAATTGGCGTCGTTGCTGGGGACTAACGACAAGTACTGATTTATTTTTCTAGTTTTTGATTTATGACCAAAAGGAACCCAGGTGAATTAGTAGATCAAGATCCGGAGATCGAAACACGAGAATGAAGAATCCCACACAAACGCTTCGAGAAAAGAGAAAACGACAAGAAAAACAAGAGCATAGTTCAGAAGTAGAATCAAATCCGGAGACAGACTCTGAAGTAGACACATACAACATTCCGATGGCAAAAGAAAAACAAACAATCCAAGAACTAGCCACAACTCCTGTCACTCATACGCAATTATGCATCAATTTTCCTAGTGGCGGGACTCCATTTCAATTAAAGACGGGACTCATTCATCTTCTTCTCACTTTCCACGACTTTCCCACTGAAGTTTCATATAAACACTTGTTGGAACTCCACATGGTTTGCACTAGCATGAAACCACAGGGAGTTACCGAGGATCAAATTAAATTGAGAGTTTTCCCTTTCTCTTTAGACGACTTGGCTAAAGATCTGTAATTGTTTTACATCCAAATTCAGTTAATTCATTGGCTGACATGATGAATTTTCTTGACAGGTTCTTTCCAGCAGCTAAAGCAAGCGAGTTACGAAAGAGAATTCTTTCCATTCAACAAAAGACTGAAGAAAGTCTTTATGACTATTGGGAGCGATTTAAAAAGCTTTATGCACGTTATTTGCAACACAAATTAAGTGAGAAAACGTTACTTCAATACTTTTATGAAGGCCTTTTACCAATGAAGATGAAAATGGTGGATGCAGCCAGTGGAGGAGCATTAATCAACATGACCCCAACAACAACAAGGGAATTGATTTCAACCATGGCAGCCAACTCTCAACAGTTTTCAAGTAAACCCAGCCAACGGGTTCATGAGATAAGTACATTTTCCCTTGAAAATAAGTTAGATAAATTAACTGAAATAGTTAATTCACTTGTTGCAGGAAAATCTGGAGCAATAAGAGCATGTGGCATATGTAGAAAGCTAGATCATCCGACGAATTGTTGTCTGTTGATACAAGAAAGAGACAATGCATGAATCAATGTAGTAGGGAGCTTTCCAGGTCTTCCAGAAAGACAATACAACCTATACAATAATACTTATAATCCAGGATGGAGAGACTACCCAAACTTCAGCTATGCGGCAAATCAAGGACAAACTTATTAACCAAGACCTCCTCCTCAACAGCAAATACAAAATCCATCATTGGAGGAACTATAGGGAGTTGGAAATCTTACAAGAAAAGTTCATTGCATCCCAGGAAAAATTCCAAAGCCGAACTGAAACACATCTTCAAGAGTTAGATAACCAAGTAAGCTGACTAGCTCAAACTATGGGAAAATAGAATCACAAGGAAGACTACCTTCTCAAACGGAGTTAAATCCGAGAGAGAATGTTAGTTCCATCACACTCTGAAATGGAAAAGTTATCTCACCAGAAGTTCCAATAAAAAAAGTCGCACATCAGAAAGAACAGGAGGACACACTACCTTTAAAAATACATGGTACGCCTGACTCACATTCTTCTCTTTCTTCTCATGAAATCACGCCACCACCCTTCCCATCAAGACTAATGAAGCATGATAAAAGAGCAGAAGAAAGGGAGATCTTAGAGGTGTTCCAAAAAGTTCAAGTCAACATACCTCTTATTGAATTAATTCGAAAAGTACCAAGGTATGCTCGATTTTTAAAAGAACTTTACACCACAAAGAGGAAATTAATGGGGCACGAAAAGGTAAATTTGGGAGAATATGTCTGCAATTTTTCAACGAAAGCTCCCACCAAAGATGAAGGATCAAGGCACCTGAGGTAGAATTGAAACAAATGTCGAAACACTTAAAGAATGCCTTTTAAGGAGAAAATGGTACTTCACTGGTTATTATTTCGGATAAGATTTCAAAGCTAAAAAAGATCCGAAGAAATGCCTATGAGAAAGTCAAAATCTACAAGAAAAAAAATAAAAGAATTATACGATCATAGAATTTCTCATAAAGAAGTTCTTAATTGGAGAAAGCGTATGAAGTGGAGGAAGTATTTCTTTCGAAACCTATAGTCTGAATCAGGTCGTCGAGCTAACGACGTTAACCAAAAGCGCTTAATGGGAGACAACCTATTCGTTATATTTTTTATTTTATTTTTATTCATTTTATTTTTATTTTATTTTATTCTTTAGCAAACTGTAACACCCTAATTTAGGGGCTAAAAAATTTAGAAATTATAAAGTGGTGGATTTAATTGGTATTTTGAAAGAAGAGGTGGATTAAATGTAAAATTTCAAAGTTGGCAGACCATTTTAAGAAGTGCAGGAAATTCAGTGACTAAACCCATGATTTAACCATTTTTTATATGATGAATTATAAACTCCCCCGTGCGCAGGTTCAGCAGAAAAAAATTTCCAGTTTTCCCTATCGAACAACCCTATTTCAACTCCGATCTACTCGCCGTCCGACCTTCGATCGACGAACCGAAACCACCATCGTGTTCGTTGCTGATCGAAGAACAAAACACCTCAAACCTCTCGTCGTGAATCATCGTCGTTCGTCGTTAATTTCAGTCAGAAGTATCGTTGTTAATTTCAGTCGGAAGTATCATCGGTAATAACTCGATTTCAGTTGGTTTTTTGTCTATTCACGATGATCCGATCATCCGTGTACGACACCTCCCGCACCATCATGTTCCTTGCATCGTTCCGAGTCCACCAGTGTTCTCCGTTTCTCCGTCGTCGGCGCGTGTAGGGGTGAGGCCATCAAAGTTTTCGACGTTTCGAAATCGAGCTCTCCCGTTCAAAATTGTGAACCGAGCTTGGTAAGTGTCTCAAAATGCCCTAAAATTTGTCTGGGTGTTAAATTTGTAATTAATTTCTGTTTGGGTGCTATTTGTGTCTTCGTCGCATGCACCACCCGCCGAGAGTGGGCATTGTCTGGGTGTTAAATTTGTAATTAATTTCTGTTTGGGTGCTATTTATGTAAAATTCGGACGTTAGTTTCGTAAATATTTACTGAAGGTGGCTAATTTTGTAATTAATTTCTGTTAGGGTGATATTTGTGTAAAATGGTCGATTGTTGATCGCTGACTTGCGTTGACCGTTGACCGGCGTTGAACGGCGTTGACCACTGTTGATCAGAACTTTTGACCGGATATACCTATCCTGACATTTTTCGATGTTCCGAGTCCGATTCTGTTGTCCGTTTTTCGAAATTCGGACTCGAATGCCTCAAAATTGCCAATCAAACCCGTAGAATTTTACTTTGACTGAAAATTCAAAATTCTCGAAAAGTCATATTTTATGTTTTTGACTTCCTAAATCCGAATCCGAAGTCCGTTTCACCAAATTCGAACCCGGTAAACTATTTCTCACTGATTTATCATCCTATTCGATCGTTTTTTAGAATTAAGCTCCGTTTTGATGTAATTTCTGTTGATATACATCTGAGGAATTATTGGAAAATGATTTCAAGATCGAGGGCGTTTGAATAGAATTTAATGGTTGATCAATATGGAACAAAAATCGAGGTAATACTTTACTATCTATTTATGCTTTATGGAACATGTGAATATTGGTAAAAGCATGAATAAGATAATGTTGGTCTCATTTGTGTAGTTAATGAATTTCTACACTCGATCCGAACACAGTAGAAATTTGGCAACTGATTATGGTTCAGATGATTAATATAGGAGACTGAGAGATTGTTATAATTAAATTACAAGTTTTATGATTAGTGATAAAGGAATCAGCCCTGGATTTTTAACTTATATTTTTTTATCAACAAATGTTAAATATTAAAGGTACTCGGATGAGAAATTATGAAAATACTCTGGTTGGGTAAAATTACAAAAATACCCTTATATTGTAAGATGATAAGAATTGTCCCTGGAAGATGGTTAATAAATCTAAAAAGACATATTGATCCAGTAAAAATTATTGATGTGCATAAGAAATGTTAATTTTGCTTAGGAAATGTGGATAACCGGTTTTTAACCCCAATAGGGTTTGAACAAGATGCTAGAAGTCTGTTAAGGAATCATTTCAAGATCAGAGAATTTTCGGGAAAGCAATTAACCATAGGATCTTTAAATTATAATTATTTTCGTTAAGAGCTAAAATCGAAATTATCTGGTTAAGAAATTACAAAATTACCCATGAGAGGTAAAATAGTCTGAGTTGACCCTGAATGAGAAAGTACTTTAAGGATTTGTACTTAACTCGATTAAGTACGAATTTGATTGTTAAGATCCTAACTTAGTGCATAAAAATTCTTGATATTCCGTTGGTAAAAATCTAAGAAGACACTTGACCCGAAAATATCCGAGTTACACAAGTAAATACCTGAAGAACAATTTATCGGGGTGCTCTTTTATCAGAATTGTTCGAAGGGACTGAAATAGATGATAAATTGGAATTAAATAATAAGACAGGATGAAAGGAAATGATTGAAATACATCGGATCTGTAGAATGACCAGAATACCCCTGTAATGAAATTGACCCAAGAATATCACCAAGCTCAAGAATGATTGGATATCTTCGAGCTCTGAAATAAATGGAATAAAACTGAACACCAAAATTACCAAAATACCCTTATGGACTATACTAAGTAAATACCTTGGATTAATTAAGGAATCCAAATAAGCATAGGTATTGGACTACCTTGAAAAGTTATGGAACACAACTTAAGTGATATCACCTTAAGATATGTCAGTCCTGAACGCATAGATATTACTTGAATACGTGTTCGTCTACTCAAGTTTAGCTCAATGATAATTTTGAAGTATTCAGCTCAGCTCAACTCTAGATTGCATTCGGTACTAAGATTGGATATTTTCATAAGAGCTAAAATCAAATTATCAGTTTCAGAAACGTCCGGAATTACATGAAAAATAGTCTGAGTTGACCTAAATGAAAGTACTAAGGACTAAGGATTAAGTAGAGATTGAATAAGCCAACTTGGTGAATTCTGATATTCCTTGGTAAAAATCTAAAAGACACTTGACCCGAAATATCCGAGTTAAGTAAATACCTGAAGAACAATTTATCGGGGTGCTCTTTTATCAGAATTGTTCGAAGGGACTGAAATAGATGATAAATTGGAATTAAATAATAAGACAGGATGAAAGGAAATGATTGAAATACATCGGATCTGTAGAATGACCAGAATACCCCTGTAATGAAATTGACCCAAGAATATCACCAAGCTCAAGAATGATTGGATATCTTCGAGCTCTGAAATAAATGGAATAAAACTGAACACCAAAATTACCAAAATACCCTTATGGACTATACTAAGTAAATACCTTGGATTAATTAAGGAATCCAAATAAGCATAGGTATTGGACTACCTTGAAAAGTTATGGAACACAACTTAAGTGAGCATATCAACCTTAATGATATGTCAGTACCTGAACGACATAGATATTACTTGAATACGTGTTCGTCTACTCAAGTTTAGCTCAATGATAATTTTGGAAGTATTCAGCTCAGCTCAACTCTAGATTGCATTCGGTACTAAGAATTGGATATTTGTTCGACAAATCAACCACGAAGACCAAACTGAACTGAGCGAAAGTACAATATGTATCAGAATTTCAGAAACGTCCGAATTACTCAGGAAAATTTTGAAGTAACTGGAATAGACTTGACTACTAAATGAACTAGGTAACCTCAAGGACTAAGGATTAAGTAAGAGATTGGAATAAGCCTGAAAACTTGGATGAACTTACGTGATGTATCATCCCTATGGATTATGATCAACAAATAAAGTACATCGGCATTTCCTGATACAATTAAAATATGGAAATGAAATAAAGACCATTATAATATATGTTCGTCTCTTTAAGATCTGTTCAGTGATGACTCAGAAGATGATATATGGATAAGAATATTTGGTATTAAAGAGTAAATACCCTGGAAGGATATTGAATTGACAAGTTGACAAGTATTACTTATTTGAGCTATTCATCTGGAGTTGTTCGAAAATCTGAGTAATCGACGTAGACTGTAAAGGTCCTGTACCTTTATTTCTTCCTTATCAGCTCAAGTCTCATTCTGAATAACTGATGATTTCATCAGTTATTGATCTCTTCCAATCGTGATTCTAAATTATGATATTCTATCGACATAATGAAGATCTGTGTTTCTCTACTTGATAAGATTATCCAGTACCTTTGAATAGTATATGTAAACTCTGGTGTGTTCTCTAATCACATGAATATTTTATCTGATTTCTGATATTAATTATGTTATGATACTTGACATGGATTCTGATCTGATACTTGGCTTGAACTATGTTTTGATTTTTGATATATCCGTTTACAGACAGAACATGTTTTATTGGGGGTATAGTTGGAGGAAGAATACTTGCAGGTTCCTCGTCTTTGTGCTGAGAGCCTTACTGTTCATGACGAGGTTGAATACTTGTAGGTTCCTTGGCTTTGTGCTTAGGGCCTTACTGTTCGTGACGGGGTTGTATGGGTATGGAGAACCTACACATTTTGTTCGTGACGGATGAGGAAATTACTATGGTTTTTTAATTTTTTTAAAAAATATGTTTAAAAAAAATCTGTATCTTTTCAATGGTTTTGAGGAAACACACTAGATAACCTATTCTGATCTCTTGAACTCAGTCGTCTGAAATATTTGTCTGAAATAAAATCTCATTGTCTGTTACCACCTGAAATATCAATAGGATCTGCGCTCAGCATACAAATCTGTAGATGTTCGGAACCAATAAGGAAAGATATGTTTATCTGTATCTACACGTTCTTCAGCATCATCTGATAGTTTTGTATTACTGAGCTTTTCGAAGCTCACTCTATTACTCAACATTGCAGGTTAAAAGAATTATACCAGTGCAGCTATCAACTTTAATAAGGGAGTTTTTCCGGCGTTGCTTGCAGAGTATGGTACATGTGATTAGGGGGCATGTAATTGTATTTTGGTTTATATACGAGTCTGAAAATCTGTTTTATTTCTCCATACTGATAAATCGTTTTATAAGTTACATGTTTTAATAAGTTTTTTTAAAATTTTTCGTTGTTTTTATAGTGGGTCGTTCCAGTGGCCCTAATGTGACACTCCATATCAGATCAGGTTACCTGCATCGGTCCGGGGTTTACATTTAGTGGTATTAGAGCTATGGTTAGAGTCAAAATTTTTCAAGATAGTCCGGCCGGTCGAATGTCAAAATATGTTTGATCAGTACATATCCCTAGACTTCAACTGTACCTCTCTAAGCCGGAATTCCAGGGCTGAGTCCCTATCTGTAATGAGTAAACTTAAGTTTCTATCCGTTAAGGCTATACTTGTACAAAAAGGAATATTTATAACATCTTTCTAAACGCTGTAAAGTACCTCACAAGCAATGTGAGAGTTAATTATCCAAGAAATTCTATCCCGACTCCAGAAATGAAATTGAGATATGCTGCTGCTCTATGAGCCTATTCACGTAACCAAGGTTGAATTGATTTCACAAGGATAAAGTTATTTTGATTATTTACTTGGACCGAGGGAGAATTCTGATGAGAATGTATACTCAGCTGGTTAATGATTAGTAGAGGGCACGTACTTTTGTAAAAGCTACTTGAAGCTATGAAAAAAACTGATGAAAGTTTCATTTATGCAATTATGTGATATGAATGAATTTCGAGGATGACATTCTTTTAAGGAGGGGAGAATTGTAACACCCTAATTTAGGGGCTAAAGATTTAAGAAATTATAAAGTGGTGGATTTAATTGGTATTTTTAAAGAAACGATGGATTAAATTGTAAATTTTCAAAGTTAGCAAATATTTTTAAAAAGTGCAGGAAATTTAGTGACTAAACCCATGATTTAACCATTTTTATATGATGAATTATTAACTCCCCCGTGCGCAGGTTCAGTAGAAAAATATTTCCAGTTTTCCCTCTCCAAACAACCCTCCTTTCAACTCCAATCTACTTGTCGTTCGACCTCCGTTCGCCGAACCGAAACCACCATCGTATTCATTGTTGACCGAAGAACAAACTGCCTCAAACCTCTAGCCATGAATCATATCCGTTCGTCGTTAATTTCAGTCGAGAGTATCGTCAGTATACGATTTCAGTTGGTTTTTCGTCGATTCACGACGATCCAGTCATCTATTTACGACTCCTCCCGCATGAGGAATTATTGGAAGATGATTTCAAGATCGAGGGCGGTTGGAATGGAAGTAATGGCCGATCAGTATAGCACAAAAATCGAGGTAATACTTTACATATTTATGCTTTATGGAATGAATATGTGATATGTATGAATAAGATATGATGGTCTCATTTGTAGTTAATGAATTCTACATCGAAACCAGTAAAATTGGCACTGATTATGGTTCAGATGATTAATATAGGAGATTGAGAGATTGTTGAATTAAATTACAAGTTATGATTAGTGATAAAGAATCAACCCAGATTTGTAACTTATATTTATATCAAAAAAGGTTAAATATTAAAGGTACTGGGAGAAATTATGAGAATACTCTAGTTGGGTAAAATTACGAAACTTATATTGTAAGATGACAAGAATTGTCCCTGAAGTTGGTTAACACTCTGAAAAGACATATTGATCTGGTAAAAATTACTGATGTGCATAAGAAATGTTAGTTTTGCTTAGGAAATGTGGATAACCGGTTTTTAACCCGAAGAGGGTTTGAACAAGATGCTAGAAGTCTGTTAAGGAATCATTTCAAGATCAGAGAATGTTCGGGAAAGCAATTAACCATAGGATCTTTAAATTATAATTATTTTCGTTAAGAGCTAATATCAAAATTATCTGGTTAAGAAATTATGAAAATGCCCTTGAGAGGTAAAATATTCCGAGTTGACCCTGAAAGAGAAAGTACTTTAAGGATTTATACGATTTATACTTAACTCGATTAAGTACGAATTTGATTGTTAAGATCCTAACTTAGTGCAGAAAAATTCTTGATATTCCGTTGGTAAAAATATGAGAAGGCACTTGACCCGAAAATATTCAAGTTACGAGTAAATACCTGAAGAACAATTTATCGGGGTGCTCTTTTATCATAATTGTTCGAAGGGACTGAAATAGATGATAAATTAGAATTAAATAATAAGACAGGATGAAAGGAAATGATTGAAATACATCGAATCTGTAGAATGACCAGAATACCCCCTATAATGGAAATGACCCAAGAATATCACCAAGCTCAAGAATGATTGGATATCTTCGAGCTCTGAAATGAATGGAATAAAACTGAATACCAAAATTACAAAAATACCCTTATGGCTTATACTAAGTAAATGTCTTGGATTAATTAAGGAATCCAAATAAGCATAGGTATTAGACTACCTTTAAAAGTTATGGAACATAGCTTAAGTCAGCCGATCAACCTTAATCATATGTAAGTACCTAAACGACATAGATATTACTTGAATGCGTGTTCGTATACTCAAGTTTAGCTCGAAGATAATTTTGGAAGTATTCACCTCAGCTCAACTCTAGATTGCACTCGGTACTAAGAATTGTATATTTGTTTGACAAATCAACCACGAAGACCAAACTGAACTAAACGGAAGTTCAATATGTATCAGAAATTCAGAAACGTCCGGAATTGCTCTGGAAAATTTCGAAGTAACTGGAATAGACTTGACTACTAAATGAACTAGGTAACCTCAAGGACTAAGGATTAAGTAAGAGATTGGAATAAGCCTGAAAACTTGGATGAACTTACGTGATGTATCATCCCTATGGATTATGATCAACAAATCAAGTACATCGGCATTTCCTGATACAGTTGAAATATGGAAATGAAATAAAGACCATTATAATATATGTTCGTCTCCTTAAGATCTGTTCAGTGATGACTCAGAAGATGATATATGGATAAGAATATTTGGTATTAAAGAGTAAATACCCTGGAAGGATATTGAATTGACAAGTTGACAAGTATTACTTATTTGAGCTATTCATCTGGAGTTGTTCGATAATCCGAGTAATCGACGTAGACTGTAAAGGTCCTGTACCTTTATTTCTTCCTTATCAGCTCATGTCTCATTCTGAATAACTGATGATTTCATCAGTTATTGATCTCTTCCAATCGTGATTCTAAATTCCGATATTCTATCGACATACTGAAGATCCGTGTTTCTCTGCTTGATAAGATTATCCAGTACCTTTGAATAATATATGTAAACTCTGGTGTGTTCTCTAATCACATGAATATTTTATCTGATTTCTGATATTAATTCTGTTATGATACCTGACATGGATTCTGATCTGATACATGGCTTGAACTATGTTTTGATTTTTGATATATCCGTTTACAGACAGAACATGTTTTATTGGGGGTATAGTTAGAGGAAGAATACTTGAAGGTTCCTCGTCTTTGTGCTGAGAGCCTTACTGTTCGTGATGGTTGAATACTTGTAGGTTCCTTGGCTTTGTGCTTAGGGCCTTACTGTTCGTGACGGGGTTGTATGGGTATGGAGAACCTACACATTTTGTTCGTGATGGATGAGGAAATTACTATGGTTTTGAATTTTTTTAAAAATATGTTTAAAAAAATCTGTATTTTCAATCGTTTTGAGGAAACACACTAGATAACCTATTCTGATCTCTTGAACTCAGTCGTCTGAAATATTTGTCTGAAATAAAAGCTCATTCTCTGTTACCACCTGAAATATCAATAGGATCTGCGCTCAGCATAAAAATCTGTAGATGTTCGGAACCAATAAGGAAAGATATGTTTATCTGTATCTGCACGTTCTTCAGCATCATCTGGTAGTTTTGTATTACTGAGCTTTTCGAAGCTCACTCTATTACTCAACATTGCAGGTTAAAAGAATTATACCAGTACAACTATCAACTTTAATAAGGGAGTTTTTCCGGCGTTGCTTGCAGAGTATGGTACATGTGATTAGGGGGCATGTAATTGTATTTTGTTTTATATACGAGTTTAAAAATCTGTTTTATTTCTGCATACTGATAAATCGTTTTATAAGTTACATGTTTTAATAAGTTTTTTAAATTTTTCGATGTTTTTATAGTGGGTCGTTCCGGTGGCCCTAATGTGACACTCCATATCGGATCAGGTTACCTGCATCGGTCTGAGGGGTTACATTTAGTGGTATCAGAGCTATGGTTAGAGTTAAAATTTTTCAAGATAGTCCAACCGGTCGAATGTCAAAATATGTTTGATCAGTACATATCCCTAGACTTCAATTGTACCTCTCTAAGCCAGAATTCCAGGGCTGAGTCCCTATCTGTAATGAGTAAACTGAAGTTTCTATCCGTTAAGGCTTACTTGTACAAAAAGGAATATTTATAACATCTTTCTAAACGCTGTAAAGTACCTCACAAGCCATGTGAGAGTTAATTATCCAAGAAATGCTATCCGACTCCAGAAATGATATTGAGATATGCTGCTGCTCTATTAGCCTATTCACGTAACCAAGGTTGAATTGATTTCACAAGGATAAAGTTATTTTGATTATTTACTTGGATCGAGGGAGAATTCTGATGAGAATGAATACTCAGCTGGTTAATGATTAGTAGAGGGCACGTACTTTTATAAAAGCTACTTGAAGCTATGAAAAAAACTGATGAAAGATTCATTTATGCAATTATGTGACATGAATGAATTTCGAGGATGATATTCTTTTAAGGAGGGGAGAATTGTAACACCCCAATTTAGGGGCTAAAGATTTAAGAAATTATAAAGTGGTGGATTTAATTGGTATTTTTAAAGAAACGGTGGATTAAATTGTAAATTTTCAAAGTTAGCAAATATTTTTAAGAAGTGTAGGAAATTTAGTGACTAAACCCATGATTTAACCATTTTTATATGATGAATTATTAACTCCCCCGTGCGCAGGTTCAGCAGAAAAATATTTCCAGTTTTCCCTCTCCAACAACCCTTCTTTCAACTCCAATCTACTTGTCGTTCGACCTCCGATCGCCGAACCAAAACCACCATCGTATTCATTGTTCCGAAGAACAAACCCCCTCAACCCTCTCGCCATGAATCATATCCGTTCGTCGTTAATTTCAATCGAAAGTATCGTCGGTAATAACTCGATTTCAGCTGGTTTTTCGTCGATTCACGACGATCCAGTCATCTGTTTACGACTCCTCCCGCACCATCGTGTTCCTTGTATCTTTCCGAGTCCACCGGTGTTCTCCGTTTCCACGTCGTCGTTGGCGTGTGGAGGGGTGAGGCCGTCAAAGTTTTCGACGTTTCAGAATCGAGCACTCCGCCGATCAAAATTGTGAACCGAGCTTGGTAAGTGTCTCAAAATGCCTTAAAAAGAACTTTTAGGAATTTTTCCTGGAATTTTCCGATACCGTATCACTGTCCACACGCCGCACGCTCCACCCGCCGAGAGTAGGCATTGTCTGGGTGTTAATTTTGTAATTAATTTCTGTTTGGGTGCTATTTGTGTAAAATTCGGGTATTAGTTTCATAAATATTTGTAGAAGGTGGCTAATTTTGAAATTAATTTCTATTAGGGTAATATTTGTGTAAAATGGCCGATTGTTGACAATTGACCTGCGTTGACCATCGACCGACGTTGAACGCCATTGACCGGGCATTAAACGACCTTTGACTTTGACCGGATATACGTATCCTGACATTTTTCGACGTTCCGAGTCCGATTCAGCAGTCCGTTTTTTGAAATTCAGACCCGAAGGCCTCAAAATTGCCAGTCAAACACGTTGACTTTGGCTGAAAATTCAAAATTTTCGAAAAGTCATATTTTATCATCCGAATCCGAAGTCCGTTTTGCCAATTTGAACTCGGTAAATTGTTTCTCATTGATTTATCATCCGATTCGATCCGTTTTTCAGAATTAAGTTCCGTTTTTGATATAATTTCTGTTGATATGCATCTGAGGAATTATTGGAAGATGATTTCAAGATCGAGGGCGGTTAAATGGAATTTAATGGCTGATCAGTATGGCATAAAAATCGAGGTAATACTTTACTACATATTTATGCTTTATGGAACATGTGAATATTGGTATATGTATGAATAAGATAATGATGGTCTCATTTTTGTAGTTAATGAATTTCTACACTCGATTCGAACATAGTAAAAATTTGGCAACTGATTATGGTTCAGATGATTAATATAGGAGATTGAGAGATTGTTAGAATTAAATTACAAGTTTTATGATTAGTGATAAAGGAATCAACCATGGATTTGTAACTTATATTTTATATCAACAAAGGTTAAATATTAAAGGTAATGAGATGAGAAATTATGAGAATACTCTGGTTGGGTAAAATTACGAAAATACCCTTATATTGTAAGATGACAAGAATTGTCCCTGAAAGTTGGTTAACAACTCTGAAAAGACATATTGATCCGGTAAAAATTACTGATATGCATAAGAAATGTTAGTTTTGCTTAGGAAATGTGGATAACCGATTTTTAACCCCAAGAGGGTTTGAACAAGATGCTAGAAGTCTGTTAAGGAATCATTTCAAGATCAGAGAATGTTCGGGAAAGCAATTAACCATAGGATCTTTAAATTATAATTATTTTCGTTAAGAGCTAATATCGAAATTATCTGGTTAAGAAATTATGAAAATGCCCTTGAGAGGTAAAATATTCCGAGTTGACCCTGAATGAGAAAGTACTTTAAGGATTTGTACTTAACTCGATTAAGTACGAATTTGATTGTTAAGATCCTGACTTAGTGCAAAAAAATTCTTGATATTCCGTTGGTAAAAATCTTAGAAGGCACTTGACCCGAAAATATTCAAGTTACGAGTAAATACCTGAAGAACAATTTATCGGGGTGCTCTTTTATCATAATTGTTCGAAGGGACTGAAATAGATGATAAATTAGAATTAAATAATAAGACATGATGAAAGGAAATGATTGAAATACATCGAATCTGTAGAATGACCAGAATACCCCTATAATGGAAATGACCCAAGAATATCACCAAGCTCAGGAATGATTAGATATCTTCGAGCTCTGAAATGAATGGAATAAAACTGAACACCAAATTTACAAAAATACCCTTATGGCTTATACTAAGTAAATGCCTTGGATTAATTAAGGAATCCAAATAAGCATAGGTATTGGACTACCTTTAAAAGTTATGGAACATAGCTTAAGTCAGCCGATCAACCTTAATCATATGTAAGTACCTAAACGACATAGATATTACTTGAATGCGTGTTCGTCTACTCAAGTTTAGCTCAAAATTTTGGAAGTATTCACCTCAGCTCAACTCTAGATTGCACTCGGTACTAAGAATTGTATATTTGTTTGACAAATCAACCACGAAGACCAAACTGAACTAAACGGAAGTACAATATGTATCAGAAATTCAGAAACGTCCGGAATTACTCTGGAAAATTTCGAAGTAACTGGAATAGACTTGACTACTAAATGAACTAGGTAACCTCAAGGACTAAGGATTAAGTAAGAGATTAGAATAAGCCTGAAAACTTGGATGAACTTACGCGATGTATCATCCCTATGGATTATGATCAAGAAATCAAGTACATCGGCATTTCCTAATACAGTTGAAATATGGAAATGAAATAAAGACCATTATAATATATGTTCGTCTCCTTAAGATCTATTCAGTGATGACTCAGAAGATGATATATGGATAAGAATATTTGGTATTAAAGAGTAAATACCCTGGAAGGATATTGAATTGACAAGTTGAAAAGTATTACTTATTTGAGCTATTCATCTAGAGTTGTTCGATAATCCCGAGTAATCGACGTAGACTGTAAAGGTCCTGTACCTTTATTTGTTTCTTATCAGCTCAAGTCTCATTCTGAATAACTGATGATTTCATCAGTTATTGATCTCTTCCAATCGTGATTCTAAATTCCGATATTCTATCGACATACTGAAGATCCGTGTTTCTCTGCTTGATAAGATTATCCAGTACCTTTGAATAGTATATGTAAACTCTGGTGTGTTCTCTAATCACATGAATATTTTATCTGATTTCTGATATTAATTCTGTTATGATACCTGACATGGATTCTGATCTGATACTTGGCTTGAACTATGTTTTGATTTTTGATATATCCGTTTACAGACAGAACATGTTTTATTGGGGGTATAGTTGGAGGAAGAATACTTGCAGGTTCCTCGTCTTTGTGCTGAGAGCCTTATTGTTCGTGACGAGGTTGAATACTTGTAGGTTCCTTGGCTTTGTGCTTAGGGCCTTACTGTTCGTGACGGGGTTGTATGGGTATAGAGAACCTACACATTTTGTTCGTGACGGATGAGGAAATTACTATGGTTTTTGAATTTTTTTAAAAAATATGTTTAAAAAAAAATCTGTATCTTTTTAATGGTTTTGAGGAAACACACTAGATAACCTATTCTGATCTCTTGAACTCAGTCATCTGAAATATTTGTCTGAAATAAAAGCTCATTGTCTGTTACCACCTGAAATATCAATAGGATCTGCGCTCAGCATAAAAATCTGTAGATGTTCGGAACCAATAAGGAAAGATATGTTTATATGTATCTGCACGTTCTTCAGCATCATCTGGTAGTTTTGTATTACTGAGCTTTTCGAAGCTCACTCTATTACTCAACATTGCAGGTTAAAAGAATTATACCAGTACAGCTATCAACTTTAATAAGGGAGTTTTTCCTACGTTACTTGCAGAGTATGGTACATGTGATTAGGGGGCATCTAATTGTATTTGTTTATATACGAGTCTGAAAATCTGTTTTATTTCTGCATACTGATAAATCGTTTTATAAGTTACATGTTTTAATAAGTTTTTTTAAATTTTTTGTTTTTATATTGGGTCATTCCGGTGGCCCTAATGTGACACTCCATATCGGATCAGGTTACCTGCATCGATCCGGGGGGTTACATTTAGTGGTATCAGAGCTATGGTTAGAGTCAAAATTTTTCAAGATAGTCCGGCCGGTCGAATGTCAAAATATGTTTGATCAGTACATATCCCTAGACTTCAATTGTACCTCTCTAAGCCGGAATTCCAGGGCTGACTCCCTATCTGTAATGAGTAAACTTAAGTTTCTATCCGTTAAGGCTATACTTGTACAAAAAGGAATATTTATAACATCTTTCTAAACGTTGTAAAGTACCTCACAAGCTATGTGAGAGTTAATTATCCAAGAAATGCTATCCCGACTCCAGAAATGAAATTGAGATATGCTGCTGCTCTATGAGCCTATTCACGTAACTAATGTTGAATTGATTTCACAAGGATAAAGTTATTTTGATTATTTACTTGGACCGAGGGAGAATTTTGATGAGAATGTATAATCAGCTGGTTAATGATTAGTAGAGGGCACGTACTTTTGTAAAAGCTACTTGAAGCTATGAAAAAAACTGATGAAAGTTTCATTTATGCAATTATGTGACATGAATGAATTTCGAGGATGACATTCTTTTAAGGAGGGGAGAATTGTAACACCCCAATTTAGGGGCTAAAGATTTAAGAAATTATAAAGTGGTGGATTTAATTGGTATTTTTAAAGAAACGGTGGATTAAATTGTAAATTTTCAAAATTAGCAAATATTTTTAAGAAGTGCAGGAAATTTAGTGACTAAACCCATGATTTAACCATTTTTATATGATGAATTATTAACTCCCCCGTGCGCAGGTTCAGCAGAAAAATATTTCCAGTTTTCCCTCTCCAACAACCCTCCTTTCAACTCCAATCTACTTGTCGTTCGACCTCCGATCGCCGAACTGAAACCACCATCTTATTCGTTGTTGACCGAAGAACAAACCCCCTCAAACCTATCGCCATGAATCATATCCGTTCGTCGTTAATTTCAGTCGAAAGTATCATCGGTAATAACTCGATTTCAGTTGGTTTTTCGTCGATTCACGACGATCCAGTCATCTGTTTACGACTCCTCCCGCACTATCGTGTTCCTTGTATCATTCCGAGTCCACAAGTGTTCTCCGTTTCTACGTCGTCGTCGGCATGTGGAGGGGTGAGGCCGTCAAAGTTTCTGACGTTTCATAATCGAGCACTCCACCGATCAAAATTGTGAACCGAGCTTGGTAAGTGTCTCAAAATGCCTTAAAAAGAACTTTTAGGAATTTTTCCTGGAATTTTACGATACCGTATCACTGTCCACGCGCTGCACGCTCCACCCGCCGAGAGTAGGCATTGTCTGGGTGTTAATTTTTTAATTAATTTCTGTTTGGGTACTATTTGTGTAAAATTCAGGTGTTAGTTTCGTAAATATTTGTAGAATGTGGCTAATTTTGAAATTAATTTCTATTAGGGTGATATTTGTGTAAAATGGCCGATTGTTGACAATTGACCTGCGTTGACCATTGACCGGCGTTGAACGGCGTTGACCGGGCATTAAACGACCTTTGACTTTGACCAGATATACGTATCCTGACATTTTTCGACGTTTCGAGTTCGATTCAGCAGTCCGTTTTTTGAATTTCAGACCCGAAGGCCTCAAAATTGCCAGTCAAACACGTTTACTTTGACTTTGGCTGAAAATTCAAAATTTTCGAAAAGTCATATTTTATCATCCGAATCCGAAGTCTGTTTTGCCAAAATTGAACTCGGTAAATTGTTTCTCATTGATTTATCATCTGATTCGATCCATTTTTCAGAATTAAGTTCCGTTTTTGATATAATTTCTGTTGATATGCATCTGAGGAATTATTGGAAGATGATTTCAAGATCGAGGGCGGTTGAATGGAATTTAATGGTTGATCCGTATGGCATAAAAATCGAGGTAATACTTTACTACATATTTATGCTTTATGGAACATGTGAATATTGGTATATGTATGAATAAGATAATGATGGTCTCATTTTTGTAGTTAATGAATTTCTACACTCGATTCGAACACAGTAAAAATTTGGCAACTGATTATGGTTCAGATGATTAATATAGGAGATTGAGAGATTGTTAGAATTAAATTACAAGTTTTATGATTAGTGATAAAGGAATCAACCATGGATTTGTAACTTATATTTTATATCAACAAAGGTTAAATATTAAAGGTACTCGGATGACAAATTATGAGAATACTCTGGTTGGATAAAATTACGAAAATACCCTTATATTGTAAGATGACAAGAATTGTCCCTGAACGTTGGTTAACAACTCTGAAAAGACATATTGATCCGGTAAAAATTACTGATGCAGATAAGAAATGTTAGTTTTGCTTAGGAAATGTGGATAACCGGTTTTTAACCCCAAGAGGGTTTGAACAAGATGCTAGAAGTCTGTTAAGGAATCATTTCAAGATCAGAGAATATTCGGGAAAGCAATTAACCATAGGATCTTTAAATTATAATTATTTTCGTTAAGAGCTAATATCGAAATTATCTGGTTAAGAAATTATGAAAATGCCCTTGAGAGGTAAAATATTCCGAGTTGACCCTGAATGAGAAAGTACTTTAAAGATTTGTACTTAACTCGATTAAGAAAAAATTTGATTGATAAGATCCTGACTTAGTGCAGAAAAATTCTTGATATTCCGTTGCTAAAAATCTGAGAAGGCACTTGACCCAAAAATATCTGACTTACGAGTAAATATCTGAAGAACAATTTATCGGGGTGCTCTTTTATCAGAATTGTTCGAAGGGAATGAAATAGATGATAAATTGGAATTAAATAATAAGACATGATGAAAGGAAATGATTGAAATACATCAAATCTGTAGAATGACCAGAAGATCCCTGTAATGGAAATGACCCAAGAATATCACCAAGCTCAGGAATGATTGGATATCTTCGAGCTCTGAAATGAATGAATAAACCTGAACACCAATATTACCAAAATACCCTTATGGCCTACTAAGTAAATGCCTTGGATTAATTAAGGAATCCAAATAAGCATAGGTATTGGACTACCTTTAAAAGTTATGGAACACAACTTAAGTGAGTCGATCAACCTTAATCATATGTCAGAACCTGAACGGCATAGATATTACTTGAATGCGTGTTCGTCTACTCAAGTTTAGCTCAAAGATAATTTTGGAAGTATTCACCTCAGCTCAACTCTATATTGCATTCGGTATTAAGAATTGGATATTTGTTCGACAAATCAACCACGAAGACGAAACTGAACTAAACGGAAGTACAATATGTATCCAAAATTTCAGAAATGTCCGGAATTACTCTGGAAAATTATGAAGTAACTGGAATAGACTTGACTTCTAAATGAACTAGGTAACCTCAAGGACCGAGGATTAAGTAAGAGATTGGAATAAGCCTGAAAACTCGGATGAACTTACGTGATGTATCATCCCTATGGATTATGATCCACAAATCAAGTACGTCTGCATTTCTTGATACAATTGAAATAGGGAAATGAAATAAAGACCATTAGAATATATGTTCGTCTCCTTAAGATCTGTTCAGTGATGACTCAGAAGATGATCTTTGGATAAGAATATTTGGTATTAAATAGTAAATACCCTGGAAGGATATTGAATTGACAAGTTGACAATTATTAGTTATGAGAGCTATTCATCTGGAGTTGTTCGATAATCCGAGTAATCGATGTACATTGTAAAGGTCACGTACCTTTATTTCTTCCTTATCAGCTCAAGTCTCATTCTGAATAACTGATGATTCCATCAGTTATTGAACTCTTCCAATCGTGATTCTAAATTCCGATATTCTATCGACATACTAAAATTTGTGTTTTTCAGCTTGATAAGATTATCCAGTACCTCTGAATAATATCTGTAAACTCTGGTGTGTTCCCTAATCACATGAATATTTTATCTGATTTCTTATTTGAATTTTGTTATGATACCTGACATGGATTCTGATTTAATACTTGACCTGACCTGAACTATGTTTTAATTTTTGATATATCCCTTTACGGACGGAACTTGTTTTATTAGGGGCGTAGTTGCAGGAAGAATACTTGCAGGTTCCTCGGCTTTGTGCTGAGAGCCTTACTGTTTGTGACGGGGTTGAATACTTGCAAGTTCCTTGGCTTTGTGCTCAGGGCCTTACTGTTCGTGATGGGTTGTATGGTTATTGAGAACCTACACGTTTTGTTCGTGACGGATGAGGAAATTACTATGGTTTTTTAATTTTTTAAAAATATGTTTTAAAAAAATCTGTATCTTTTCACTGGTTTTGAGGGAACACACTAGATAATCCATTTTGATATCCTCAACTCAGTCATCCGAAATATTTCTCTGAAATAAAAGCTCATTGTCCGTTACTACCTGAAATATCAATAGGATCTCCGCTCAGCATAAAAATATGTAGATGTTCGGAACCAATAAGAAAAGATATGTTTATCTATATCTGAACGTTCTTCAGCATCATCTGGTAGTTTTGTATTACTGAGCTTTCCGAAGCTCACTCTATTACTCAACATTGCAGGTTAAAAGAATTGTACCAGTGCAGCTATCAACTTCTGTTTGGGATTTTTTTCCGGCGTTGCTCGCAGAGTATGTATATGTGATTAGGGGGCAAGTAATTGTATTTTGTTTTATATACGAGACTGAAAATCTGTTTTATTTCTACATACAGATAAATCATTTTATAAGTTACATGTTTTAATAAGTTTTTTTTTAAAACTTTTCACTATTTTTATAGTGGGTCGCTTCGATAGCCCTAATGTGACACTCCAGATAGGATCAGGTTACCCGCATCGGTCTGGGGGTTACATTTTGTGATATCAGAGCTATGGTTTGAGTTAAAATTTTTCAATATAGACCGCCCGGTCGAATGTTAAA